TCCAGGGTTTTTCTTTTTTTGGGGTCTAACTTCCATCCTCATCATAGCCAATAGCTTACTAATAATCAGACTCTTTAAGAGTCTGCCCAATATGATGGATGTTCTAATAAACCTTATCTTTGACTGAAAAAAAAATTTTTTAAGGTTAATTTAGGCATTTACCATAGACAAAATAGCTTATTTGCTCAAAGTCATTCTTAAAACAATATTACTGTTGCTATATGCAATGTTCTCTTGGTTCTGCTCATCTCACTCTTATTTTAGCAAGTCTTTCCATGTTTTTTTTTCTAAAATTATTGAGCTCATAATTTCTTATAGCACAGTAATATTCCGTCACAATCATATACCCCAACTTGTTCAGCCATTCCCCTATTGATTGGCATCCCTGCAATTGCCAGTTCTTTGCCACCACAAAAAGAGCTACTATAAACATTTTAGAACATACAGGTTCTTTTTCTTTTCCCCTAATCATCTTTGAAAATAGACCAATTAGTGGTATTGCTGGGTCAAAGTGTACATATGTAGTTTAATAACTCTTTGGACATACTTCCAAATTCCTCTACAGAATGGTTGGATCATTTTACAATTCCACCAACAATGAATTAGTGTCCTAATTTTTCTATATCCTATCTAACATTTGTGATTTTCTCCTTCTATCACTTTAACCAATTTAGGTTTAAAATGATATCTCAAGGTTGTTTTAATCTGCATTTCTCTAATAAATAATGATTTAGAGTTTTTTTAATAAGATTATAAATTGTTTTGATTTATTCAATGGAAAACTGCCTGTTTGTATCCTTTGACCATTTGTCAATTGGAGAAAGACTTATATTCTTAAAGATTTGACAAAGTTCTTTTTCTATTTTAGATATAAAACCTTCATCTGTTAAACTGTCTATGAATTTTTTCCCCAATTTTCTACTTTTCTTCTAATCATGGCTATATTTGTTTTATTTGTAAAAAAAAAAACAAAAACAAAAAGTGTTTAATTTAATGTAACTGAAATTATCCATTTTACACCTAACTATGCTCTCTATCTCTTGTTTATTAATTAATTGTTCATCTATCAATAAATCTTATAAGTAATATATTCCACGTTCTTCTAATTTTCTTGTAAAATCTGTCTTTATATCGAGGTCATGCATTCATTTTGACCTTAGCTTGGTAAATGGTGTGAAGTATGGGTCCATGCCCAGTTTCTGCCATACTGCTTTCCAGTTTTTCCAACACTTTTACCAAATGGTGAATTCTTATCCCAAATCTTAAGAATTTACATTTGTCAAATACAATGTTATTATGTTTATTTGCTGCAGTAAATTATATGTCTACTCTTTTCCATTGTTCTACGTTTCTATTTCTTAGCCAATACTAGATAATTTTAACAATTACTGCCTTATAATATAGTTTATGAGCTGGTGCTGCTAAACTTCCTTCCTTTATACTTTTTTCATTATTTCCTTTGATATTCTTGAACTTTTTTTCCAAATGAATTTTGTTATTATTTTTTTCTAATTCAGTAATTTTTTTTTGGTAATTTAATTGGAATGACATCAAATATATAATTTAGTTTGGGTAAAATTGTCATTTTTATTATATTGGCCCTGCTTATTCATGAACAGTTAATGTCTCACCAGTTATTTAAATCTGATTTTATTTGTATAAAAGCTTTTTTTTAATATATAATTTTGTTTATTTAGTTCCTGGGTTTGTTTTGGTAGGTGTGCTCCCAAGTATTTTATACTGTCTAGATTTATTTTCAAAGGTGTATTTTTTTAATTATCTCTTCTTACAGAGTTTTGTCTGTGATACAGAGAAGTGCTGATGATGTATGTGGATTTATTCTATATCCTGCTACTTGATAAAATTATTGTTGCAACTAACGTTAGTTGAGTCTTAGGGATTTTCCAAGAACACCATCATATTGTCTGCAAAGAGAGATCCTTTTATCACTGAAGTCCATATTCCGATTTCTTCAATTTCTTTTCCTCTCTCATTGCTCTTGCTAGGATTTCTAAAACAATATTGAATAATTGAGTGATTACTCTTGACACTGTCCTGAAGACTTTATTTAATCAGCCAATAAATTTTTCAGGCCTACTATTAGCACAACAAGAAAGCTATATAGCTGTGGAAGCAAACTGATGAACCCTCAGCCCTGAGAGAACACTAGTAAAAGGAACTGCATACAAAATGTGAAAGGGAAGGAAACAAGTTTTTGGGGTTTAGGAATGAAGAGAAAGCAAAACCATGAGAAGTGAGAACAAAGTAGATGAGAGTTTGGAGAGGGACAAGTCACTGTGTAAAAGTCAACTAGATATGGTGAACACAGGTTCCTGAATGTGTTTGTCCTTATCAATATTTACTCCTGTTTCCTACTATCATTTCATACTGGAGAAAGGCAGTCAGTAGAGTGAGTGGGGAGGACATAATGGAAGAAAAAGGACAGTGTCAGGAGTGCTGAGCTGACAATGCATGCTCAGTGGAAACTTTGTACCTAACTTACATGGTTTGGTGCACCTCCCTGAACATGTACTAAATTTACTTTGCATGGAATCTTCTTGCAATAAAACATATGAACTAAATTTTGTGACACATTTTTATTGCTATAAAACTTTTTTTTCTTTAATGTTTGTGTATGCCTAAATACTTAGATTGGACTAAGTAACCAATAATCAATGGAGTGTTTATTGTGTCCTTCACTCTAGAATTAATCAAAATCAAATTTCCTACTATAATATGCTAAGTAACCTTTTTTTTTCCCTAGCTCATAAAAGTCACTTCAGGCATTTTAATGGTCTGGTTTTGAAATACAATGCTAAAATTTCATGTTATTGAGGGGAAAATATTCCATGTGCATCACTATTTTATGAAAAAATACACTGACCAGGTGCTAACAGCATTCAATTTTTAAAATGAGCCATTTGAATGCAATTATACTAGTTGATCATTTCACATATTAGAATGACATTTTGTTATTACATTTTTAAAGGATTTATGTGCAATCTAATTTTCATTTGGAGCCATTGGAGGTCTCCTAATGGTATTTCTGACTTGTGCACGGTTGCTAAGTAACTTTCAACCCTTTGTACCCAGCAGACTTTCTTACTGTTTTCTCTCTAGGCCTAACACATGCTTTTGATATTGGCATATTTTTGCAAAAAGCAATCTAATACATTGTATACTTACAATGGCCTAAGGGTATGAGGTGAATTAGTTATTTTCCACACTAAAAGAGAAACTTATTTTTCTTGCATTAAATGTATAGGATCCAATACTGTTTCAGATTCTACAAAAGTACTTTATGCCATGATTAGGAACTTTATTGTATGTTTCTCTGCAGAAGATTAAATGATTTCAGTTATATAGCATTTGTACCATTTGCAACAAAAATATAAAGTTGAACATGTAGATATAGTAGTAGTAATAATATTGATAATAATAATAGTTACTTTTACATAATGTGCCAGGTTCTGTTCTAAGCACTCTACAAATAGTATGTCATTTGATCCTCATAACCACCCTAGGGGGGAGGTACTATTATTATCCTCATTTTACAGGTGAAGAAATTGAAGCAAATAGAAGTTAATTGACCTGCCCAAAATCACACAGCTAGTGAGTGTCTGAGATCTGATTTGAACTCAGGTCTTCCTCCACACCCAATACTTTATTTACTATGCTACATTTGTGGTGCAGTATTGTTAATAACAAGGGGAGTTATCCATAACAATGATGGTGACTAATAGAGGAATACTCCTCTCCTGTTACCTGGAAGTGGCATGGGAGAATTCATGGTGTGAAAAGGGATAAAAGGAAAAGGGAAAATAATTACATATAATCCAAATCAACAGTCTATCTGGATTCATAAACATTTTGATTTTGTCTCTGGTATCTTGGTTTAATTATAGATAGGCTCTAGATATTATATAATACAATATAAATACAATCCATTACAAAACCCTAGATACAATACAGAAATATAACATGTAAAATATAAAAATGCTGGATGAACTGTCTCTGGTTTCTGTCACCCACTCCCAAGTTCTGCCCTCAGAGCAGTAATAAAAAGGAATTGGGAAAAGATAATGAAATCTTCTAGTAGTCTTTCAGTTTTCACCTCTGATTAAACTCTAAAATAGCACAATTCCAAATACTATTTTTAAGTAAATAAAAAACCTGGATTATCTAGACTTATACTCTTAAAGAGCATATACATAGCAAGGAAGTCCCTCACATATAACAAAATGTTAATGTAATGTATGGCTAGAAGGATTGCTAGAATAGAAACATCTTAGTGTCTCTTCCCTCACCCTTTTTCAAGGGAGACTTAAATTCCTGCAGGAAGCTGGGGTAGGAGACCAGCCTGTTTCCTCCTCTCAGAGAGAAGTTATACCAGGCTAAAATCACATATCTCTGCTCTGTTAAATACTGGATTCTACTTCCAAATTGAACACACATAGGAAATAGCAAATAGAACCATTTATCCAATGACAAAAGAGAAATGAGAGAAAGTATCCATAGGAGAAGATACGCCAGATATTAGAAAGCAAAGAAGTCTTCCTAATAAAAGAGCAGTAACCCAGCTCAATGATGAAACTCAGTCCCAGATCTTATTCAAGGGGAAAATTCCTTTAAGACAATAATGCAGAAAGCTGGGAATAGGGAAATGGTAGGATTTCCAGCTTCTCTTATATCAACATCCCAAAGCCCCTGTGTCACTGCAAAGAGCGACTATGACATCATGAATCTTCTTTCCTGAAACTGGAAGCCTGAAAACTCCAAAGAAAGTGAAGAGAATGGATCTCTCTTTTCTCTCATCTCTCCATCTTCTCCTTGGATTTCACAATAGGTGTGGCATTGATATTCATCAGTAAGGAGAGAATCTCATATCAATGGACTTTGGAGTTCAGGTTAGACATGTGTTTATGCATTTTAAAAGTATGTATTTTGAAATCAGCTACTTACATACTAAGATTATGATTTTGCTTCTGTCATTACTTGAGGTCCATTTTGTGAGGAGTTGCTGAAGCCTTGCCTTTCTCAACAATGCTGGAATGGAGGCACTTGCCATAATCAAATGCCAGCTTATATTTGTGATTATCCAGCTGGCTTTCTTGGTCCAAAATGTGAAACTGATGTTGATCAGTGCTCATCCCTGCCATATCAGAATGGAGCTGAATGCACTGATATAACAAATGTAAGTTTGTACTTTTAAAAAAAGCCATTACAAATTCTAGGAGTTTTTCTGTTTTTTATTCAAAAGATTTAATATTGCTGAAAAGTTCAAAAAGTGGTAATCTGTAAGTTCTTTCTTGTCAAAATACAGTTTTAGAAATCGGGGGGGGAACCCTATAATTTACTTGTATTTTCATTTTTATTTCTTCCATGTTGAAGGAAAACTAAAAACATCAATATAACTGTTTAATTTCATTTGTTTTATTCCCATCAGACTTGTTCAAATTTGTTTCAGAACAAATCTGATGGGAATAAAACAAATGAAATTAAACAATGAAGTGAGTAATTGTGCACATTTATTAGTTATTGATTGTCTCTCATTGCAGCTTTTTCTTGAAATAACCTGGTTGTTATTGTTCTGTTTTAAACATTCTTTTTTTCAATTTGATGAGAAAATTCAAGAGTACCAAGAGAGAATTTGATAATGACTCAATTCAGTATGTTTTCATTACAGTGATTTTCTGATCAGCTCTGAACTTTCATGGGGTCCTTATTCTTCTTTTCTTCCTTGAATTCCATAAGCATTTGTTTCTAGAAAATTTAAAAAATGCAAATGCTTGCTCTGAAGGAAACTATTTTTTTTTCTCACTAAAGCATACAGACAACATGTTTTGGCAAATTTGATTAAATCATGAGGATGTAATAAGTCAAAAAAATCAAAATTCCCCTCTAGATAAATTTTGTTTACTTTTTTTCTTTTGAAATTGAAGATCTATGATTAATGAGATCCTGCAAGTATTCCATAATATCTAGTAGCCATTTACTTTGTAAGAGTTAGGGAACTTTCTAGGGTAGGGTATGTAGTCAGAAGATTTTTTTTTAATTCTTAAAAAAATATTCAGAGAACATTTAAGAAGAACCTAGTTGGAGCCAGAAGATGTGAGTTGTTCTTTAGTTGACCTTGGATAAATAATTTGACCTCATTATGCCTCTGTTCTTGCTTTTGCAAAATGAGGTGGTCAAATTCATTTTTCTTTATTTCCCATTCTAACTGTGATCACTATGGTGCTATGATCCATCACCTATGGTTCTGTACTGCAGCTCAAATATAAAAGAATCCTTCAGGATGGACAAAAACAAATATCAACAGATTGATAAATTCCATAATATTGATATATTTTAGATCTGGGAATCAGCACGTGATTACATTCATACCCTACTTATCATACCACTTTAAAATTAGCCACAACCACACCTTGAGGGCACATAGCCATATTATATGCATGCTTATTTTAAGAGAACATATCTTCCCCTTCATGCATTTTTAGCATGACTGAGACTTGTTTGGCTAATGGGTAATATTCTCTTGAAACTTATTTAAGTTTTTTTTTTTTTAGTGTTGATTTGTTGTTGATAAGTCACTATTTACTGAAGAGCTGTGTTGGCTGAAGCTTATTTAAAGAATAACTATTGATTATCTCATGATTCACTGAGCCATTATCAAATTCAAATGTGGCCCTTTAGTTTAGGTAAAGTTATCTCCTTTTGACAGTATGGTCTTACATTGGTTGCATAATGTCCATCACAAGAAAGTTCTCATGAAGAAGATTCCATTCTATTTTCTTTTAAATAATGGCAATTTTTCCATACAAAATCTTTCCTAGGATATTACATGCATGTGCTCATTAGAATTCACAAGCAAGTTTTGTGACAGAATTCTAAGACCGTGTGTTTCAATGTCTTGTGGGAAAAATGCCACTTGTGAAGAACAAGATGGAAGTTATTGCAGGTATGATAATCAGTGATTTCATTTCTATATTTCTATTGTTTCTTCATTTCTATATTTCCATTTACAGTTTTTGTCCCACCCTCCCTTGACAAAAAAAAAAAATGAAAATGCTCTAGGCCATCAAAACCACATAGCACTGATTTCATTTAAGTAACTTTCTATGGCAATGTATAATACTGAAATTAAGAATTTTTTTTCTTAAAAGTTTTAATAACCCCCCCCAAAAAAGATCTCATAAGCTCAATGAGATATGTTTTGCCCTCATGAATCCTATAAGATAAATATATATATACATACACACACACACACACACACACATATGATACTTTGGTGATAAGGAAGACAAATTGCCAAGGTACCACTCCTTTTCAATGTATATCATCATAATATTATCTTTCAGAAGGATAAAACAAGTCCTCCTAAGCTTAATTCACGGACCTATGTCCATGTTCTCAGTTGTGCCTTTTAGCAGAATGTTTAAAAGCATTGCTTTATTTAAATAGAATATGCTCAAAATTACCCATTTGCAAATGACAGAAGTGACCCAGATATATAGGCCTATAATTCTAGAACATTTTAAATAGCTTTACAGATATTTCCTCACACCATTAAGAAGTACAATTTGTCCTCTTCACACTTGCTTGACTTTTATCTGGCTGCTTAAAGTAGGTTCTGTTGGGCATTATTCAAGTGCGGTAAACAGCCTCAACATTTTAGGATATTCATAAAAGCAGAAAATTAAAAGCTGTGATACATAAAAGCCTCAGAACACACTGTGAATCAGCCTAGAATATGCAGCCACATCACAGTTATACAGTACACAACAATTTCATCTTTTTGAAAAGATTCACAGTTGCAAAATTTGAAATATACATTGGAGGTTATAAGTGCAACTTTCTGAAAGAAACTGAGCAAAAGAAAGTGGAGGATACAGCATAATTGATATAAAGTTCCTTGAAAATGAGCAACTCAGCACATAGGGACCTATTGTGTCTCAGAGTCATGTACTAACAAAGCTTAGAATTAACTAACAGTTTGAATTTCAGTCTTCTACACAATACATTACTGTCTTGTGAACCAGCTTGCCAGGACGATTATAGGTTACATTTGGTGCATTTTACTGTAACAATAAGCATAAAATAAATATTGTATCATTCACTTAATCACTGATTTAATTTTTTGACTTTTTGTGTTTATTATTAACCATCTGCTATACATCAAATAATTTGTTGCTTGAGAATGTCTTCTTGGCAGAAAGAGGTTTAAAGGATTTTTTTTTATTTATCTTAATTCACCCTGCTTCTGAAACATACTTGCTGCCACAAGAGGATAAAATTAATAGAACACTGCATGTGGAGCTAGGAAGACCTTATTTCTAATCCTGCCTTAGACACCTTCTACCTATGTGACCCTGGGCAAGTCACTTTACCTCTCTCAGCCTCACTTTATTCATCTGTAAAATGAGGAATGGAAATAATAGCACCTACCTTAAAAGTTTGGGTTTTGTTTTATTTTATTTTATTTTTTGGTGAGTATCAAATGAGAAGGTCTATTCTCATTTGAACCAAATATATGCATATATTTCTACGTATACCTATATACATTGATTTATATATGGATTAAAATAGAATACGTATAAATAGATAGACATGTTAGACATATGTATTTATTTTAATTTGGTTCTTTCTCTTTCACTCTCTCTCTCTCTCACATACACACACATACACACACACATACAATAACAGGGCAGGTTATGTGGTGCAGCGGACTGTCTCTCTCTCTCTCACACACACACACATATAAATACACACACAACAATAGGACAGATTAGGTGGCTCTGTGGATAGAGCTCCAGGTCTGGAATCTGAGTTCAAATCTAGCTTCAGACATTTACTTGCTGTGTAACTCTGGGAAAGTCACTTGACTCTGTTTGCCTCAGTTTCTCATCTATAAAATGAGCTGGAGAAGGAAATGGGCAACTCACTCCAGTATCTTTTCCAAGAGCACCACAAATAGGGTCTTGAAAAGTTGGACATGACTGAAGCAACTGAACGACAAATTATTTTTTAAATGGTCAGATGATTTTTAATCAATCTCCCAAGGATCTGTAATTTAATTGGTGTCAAATCTCATTCTACCAGCATAGATATCAACTGCTCTATATTTGAGTAAATAAATCTTAGCAAATTAATTGAAACTCTTAGAAGTCAAGCGATGCTGACATGTTCACGCAGTTAACAAGTGGTAAAAGTGAGATGAACCTAGGTCTCAAGACTCTGTTTCCAGCACTCTATCCACTATGTCATACTGCCTTTCCAGGTGACTTTATTTGCTGGTAAATTGAGATATATGCACAGTATGTGTTCATGTTGGGTGTGTTGCATTCATTTTCAAAGAAGTGAACTTTAATTGTTCTGTAAAATCTATTACCATCTTTCCACTTCTGTAATATTCTGTGCTTTGGAGTCCAAGTTATGAAAGAGAAAGAAGGGGAGTATAGGATGGAGTTGTCATTGACTGTATTATTGACTGTATTAACAGGAAAACTTGACATCCCAAAGGGGAAAACAATTTAATTTAAAACTGGCTTATCATGTGAGGATATTAGATTCTCAGAGATAAATAAGAGTGGAATGAAAAGTTGAATTTTGTGGATCCTCCTACTGCTATTATAGAACAAACACATAATAGAGACTGAGTGTGTTCTACTGAAGTCATAAAAACATAGTCTAAGTCAAATAATTAAAATAAGGATTACGAAATTAAAACAATGTAATTTTTTTCCCTCTAAAGGAATTCAATAAATAAGTAATTTGATCTCCGTCTTGAAAGGGTAAAATATACCTGAAATAGCCAACAAATGGCACAACAAGCCTTTATGATAAAGGCATTCTGGGATTCAGAGTCAAGCATTTGTGATTGATTTGGTTAGTTATTTTCTTTTAAGTTTAAAATATTAAAGAAACCAAGTGTTGAAAATGTTTCCCCATTGATAACAGGAAATGTGCCATAGCACAAAATTGTCCTGGAAGAAGAACAAAACCACTCTTCTCCCTACCCCAAAATGCTTGGGCATAAAATTGGGAAATAATATCTGATCCCAACAATGGCTTGTAAATGTCAAAGTAGTGGGTCAGAGCTAACATACTTGGGGAAAGGTAAGAAAGAGGAAATGAAAATCTTCAGCTCTATGTCTCAGTTTTCTTTTTTCTCAGTTTGCATTTTATGTCTCA